CTACAACACTATCGTCTACTTTTGTACCCGTCCGTTGCACCCACCTCCTTCACTTCAGAAGAGTTGTACGACTCAATGTTAGCGTAGTAGTTGACCGGGATATTGGATCCCTGCGGTGGTGATGCTGGTCTGCGGTATAGCTTATCGGAGTCTGCGAGGTTGAAGGCAAACACATATTCAGAGTCTTTGATTGACGTGTAATAGTAGGTGGAGGGCAGCGTGACAAGCATCACGCCATCTTGGAAATCTCCTTTTGGGATGCTTCTAATGGCATCTTCAATCCTGAGGGAACCTGTTTTTCTGTCCATCATGGATTTGACCACTGTGTTGAACTCGACTGGTTTGCCATTGCGCTGTTCAAGGGTGCTGATAGGAATAAAAATTGGATCATCGACGAGCTAAAAAAGAACAAAATGACGAGGTCAACAAGAAACACAGCCCCGAACAAATATATTGTAATTATCTGTGATGGCCTAAGGCAGACCCTCCAGTGCTTTTGTCGGTGAGTAGACGCGTTCCTCGCTCGGCCAAAAGTGGGAAGTTAAGCCAAGAAGGAATCGCATTGTAGATCAGGAAACGAAAATACAGATGATAACTCCAACAAAAGCACGACCAAAGAAAACTTAAATTTCACCATTTCCGCAAGTATGGAGGGAAGGGATTGTTGCATAACATAAATCGGCGACTTTCCTTAGGGACCACGAAAATTAGCAAGCGGCCATAACAGCTGTTTCATAAAAGTTGATTGTTGTTAAACATATTCCGCAAATGAGCATACGGAGTGAGTGGGTGGTAAAGTCTTTCGCATCAATCGAGTCCAGCTTATTGACTTGCACTAATTTTAGACCAATCTAGGTCAAGATCATATGTATTCTAGCTACGATAGAGCGCTCTTGACTATTTTTGCACCGCAACCTTCCGCCTCCGCAAAAAAAAAAAACACTTCCGCGCTAGAAATAAAAACCACGCCTGATCGCTCGTTAGATTCTACGCATTTACGACTTTGGTAACAAGCACTGGTTATGCGAGTGATCTGATTCACAAGGCACCATAACTTTGTTCTAAGGAAAAAGAGTCAGATGATCTTATCACTCAAGTCTTTAGACGATGGCCACTTTAAATTGTTTTCGTTATCGGTCATTACGTAAGAGTATCACTGTGGCGGGCTTCCTTTCAATATTACCCACAGGCGAGATATACAAATAATAAAGAAAATATTTATGTCAGGACAGTGCTTCCTTCAAAAAATATGGCTCAGTTTCGACGTTTATTAAATTAAGCCGACGGACAAAAACGCTGTTGTTCTCAAATATAAAAAAGTGCAATTAATTTTTTCCTTTTTGTCCGTTGTCAGAAAAGCCAGAAAATGCAAAAGTGACATCCATAAATTTTCACAGAAAAAACTATGCAAAAATTATTCCACTCTCTACCATGCTTTTAATGATTTTCTTTCTTCCTATGTTGGCGTCTTGACTATAGAAGGACACCATTTCAACATAAATGGTTGATAATGACTTGGGTATAGGTGATTCTCATTTTAAAGCATACAGATGGGTACTATAATTTACGACCACAAGAGCGAACGCTTAAGTGCCTCTCCAGTTGCAAAGTTTTTCCCTATGAAGGCTGGTGCTGTTTGTAAGTGAAACCATAAAGTGTTAATCGTATTCATATCGAAGCCATTGCAAAGTAATTTTAATATTTTATGCTGTATTTGCTCTAACGTCTTTTGTCTCTGGGTGACATCCTAAGGCAGTGACCATTTTAAATGAAAGCTACTTAACACATTAAACAATTCTCTCAGTAAAATTCTATTCAACTTCAAATATACACCAAAAGCAACAATTTATCGCTTCACTTGTAAGCCGAACAAATTTTGAAAAGTCTTAACCACAAAGTGGTTAATTCATTATCGCCTGGATAGCGCTTTTTAACCTTCATAAAATATTACTTAAAACATGGATTTTCTTCGAGTAAAACAAGTTTCTTTAACACTGAACACTTTTAAGCATCAGTAAACGTTTCTACGTTTAAAAATGAATGAATTGTATGTTTCTTTGACAGGAGGGTTTGGAAATGAAGAAAATCACCTTAGATGAAATACCATAGGTCCAAAGAACATTGATATGTAAACAATTTTCCTTGTTTGCTTTGGAAGTGGCAGCTGGTAGTCTTTCAAAAACAAAATTAAATAGAAATATAATTTTGGCAAATAAGTAAGATGAAGTCGCACCTTGATGAAAAAAAGGAAATCGTTTTTGACGCTTTTACTCGAAGCAGACTTTTCAATAAAACAATTTAAAGGTACTAATTACGCTTTCTACTATTCATCAGACATGCGGTCTGTTATTGAACGTCAGATTAATAATCTCTGAATACAAATTAATTATCACGAAGGCACAGTTCGAGGAAAGTTACGCCAGTCAAATAGTTCCCCATATTGCTATTATGTTCATTGAATAAAGATATATTATTTTCCCGCATAGTATGAAATATTCCTACGATCAACAAATTATCAAAACTTTCTTCCTCCTCACAATTCATGTTAATATTGTTAGTTATCGATACGGTACATTGGTGGCATCTTCATTTCCGGGCATACGATCAAAACAATGTACTAAACCTTCATCTAATATCTCTGTTTTAAGAGTAACACTTTCCGTGACTCGACTGGAAGAGAGGGTAAAGTCGACTTAAATATAACCATTAACTTTTGAGTAGTCTTCCACTTAAACGATAACAACAAATGGTATGGATCGCTCACGCAGTTGCCCCGGGAGAAAACACACAACAAGAAAAGTGGAGTATATTCATATGTTAATTGCGAGGGTGCAGTGACAAACTGATCGTCGTTAGCAAGTCAAAAGAAAAAAATGAATACCCACGCCGCACCAAAGTCGATCGCTTCATTTGAATAGTACTATATTTACAAAACTATCCAACCATATACGGCAAATAGAGATTACAAAAGGAAACAGAGCGTTGGGGAGTCGCAGGTGAGGTTTTGGGTTATTAGGCACGACAGTACACGATAACTGGAGAAAAGTTAGGGCGAATTTCAGTTTAAAAGCTTACTTATGTTTTGCGGCAATGTAAAAAGCGACAAGCCAAAGAAGAACTACTGAGTTTCTCATTTTGACGTTATGTCAGGAAATTCCACACATGATGGTCTTTATTTAAGTGGAGACGCTATCGTTTTGTACTTGATGTCAGTGTTAGGGGTACTGGCAAACGCTTTCGCAATTCTGGCCTCAGCCAGACTATTACAGCGACAGCCTCTCAGCCCGAATGTGTTTGTACTGGGTTTGTCGTGCGTGGACCTTATCTCGATAACACTGTTCTCAATACCATCCTGGATTTGTTACACAAACAGTCAATGGATAGGTGGAAAGAGACTTTGCGATTTCCAAGGTTTCGTGTTTCTGTTCTCAACGCTTTGTTCGGCGTTTTTAGCCATGTCCATGGCTGTGGACCGTTACATCGCCGTAACAAGGCCGTTTTTTCACCGCAAAACCATGACGGTTAACAAAGCGAAAATTCTTCTTAGTGTCACAATTTCAGCATCTTTAATCGTCTCTCTTTTCCCGCTCTGTTCGTTTGGAAGCTTCGTGCAAAATTTGCGAGGGACTTTCTGCACTGTTAATTGGTTTCCTCAGAACGCTTCCGACCGCGCGTTTTGCGTTTTTTACGCCGTTCTTGGAGGACTACCTGCCACTGTGGTCTTGTTTTGCAACATAACGGTTATCTGGGAACTTTTTAGGAGCAAACAAAGACGAATTTCTGTCACGAACATGATTGTACCCGGAGTTAACAGACGTGCTATGTATCCGGCTAAGGGTTCAGAGCGTGTTGAAGACACGGAAAAACAATTTTCAAGAACGATGGTGCTAATTTCAGTGGTATATCTCTTGGGATGGATCCCTTTTACGGTAAGAAATGAGTACTAGAAATCAGTCATGATTCATCACTTTTTATAGCTTATGCAGTTTTGTGGCAAGGGAACCAAGCAACCTGGCCCCAGTTGTTCGAAAGCTGGATACAGCTATCCAGTGGATAAATCTGTATCCAGTGGATAAGTATTAGGGAAACCAATTGCACTATCCACTGGATAGAGATTTATATGGTGGATAGCGCTATCACCTTTTCAACAACTGGGGACTGCTCTTCATGCAACAGAGCCGCAAATTTGTCCGACTGTCATCATGACACGAACACGAATGGAAATTAATACTCAATGGTTGAGGTATTTAAACGTCATTGTCCGGCAAAGTATTAATACTTTATTATCCGGCATCCTACACTTTATCACTGGCACCATGAAACAAGGCATAGAACGCAACGTATGGCTTAACCGGTACATAGCTTGTTAGAACAGAAAAACAAACATTTTTCCTTATACTCGATTCACAGATCGGGGAGTCAAAAGGGATGCATTTGCAAACTAAGGATAAAGTGATCTGTAAGAGGGAAAAGCAACCGCGTAGCTTTCAGCTAAGTCAACAAATAAACATCACTTTCAGAGTAGAGCATTTGAGTGTCAAATAACCAAAGCCTTTTTAAGTTTGTTCAGTGTTCTACGGCCTTGGCACTGTAATCCGACGACTTTTTATTCACATTTTTTTCTTTACTCTCTCCTTTCCAAAAACGAGGGTGGGTTGGAATTACCTTTCGCTAAAAAGAAAAGTCTCAACTGATTTCGAGATACACTAGGATGAATATATATAAAGACAAAAAATTGCAACTAAAACTTCTCAGTTGTCATAATCATCGCGAAATGTGCTAGGACACTTTGCGGAGCGATTAACTTGGAAATTTAGTCTTAAGAAGTCTTAATTCACCTCGTACATCATACCCTCCTACACAAATTTTACCCTTGCCGCAAAAAGGCACCTATGCAAATATACGAGTCGAGCGCTTCAGAGACTCCAGGGAGAATGGGTACAAGCTTTGGGTCTCTACTCCAAGGAAGGAAATAATGTTTGGAGATCAGAGTGATTTTAATTTTACCTTCACAGATCATCGTTTGATTTTCAAGTTCTTCTAGAAGGAAATACTTTTAATTTTGACATTTCGTTACTTCAACACCCGTCTCCCGTATTTCAATCAGCGTAACGCTCTTTCATCATCGATCACGATAACTTGATCGACACTGCAATGCAACTCGCCAGTGTACACGGGGATCAGCTACTAGAGCGCTTGCGCACAAATCTCTCATTAAATAGGCCATTTCTGAGTTCCTCCGAGCCTCTGTATCAAAACGAGGTTGAGTGCTCAGCCTTTGATATGGAAATGATTTTCATTCTCATGCAAATAAAACTCATTCTCACAAGAAAGATTGTGCACTTGGCCTCATTTTGAAAGTGACGGTGTTAACGGAACTCTGAAGTGGCCTATTGTCTTGCCTCGAAAGCTTAACGTGATTGCCTCTCTGCCCACCGAGCTGTATGGAAGTCAAATTTTCCCTAAATCAGTACACAGTTTGTCGTAATAACGCTGAAAAAAGATCACGGTTACGAAAACAGGCTTCCTTATTAATGAAAGCAGCATAAATGTTGTGGTTCAATTTTATCCTTGGTTTAAATTTTATTTACCTTTCTTTTAAACTCATTAATATACATCACCATACTCTAAAACAAAGGACAATAAAATTTAAATCAAGGACAAAATTGTGGCTTAGCAGAGTAGCAGAGTATAGTTCACCTAAGTGGAAACGATAAAGAGACGCAAACCCCGATGCACTGCAAAGATACCGTCTTTGTCGTTTCGTTTTATTCTGCTTAACGCTTAATGTTGAAGCTGTTATTTTCTAGGTTCGTCTGATCGGTAACGCCTTCTACAACTGGCGAAACGGCTTTCAAGATCTTCTTGTGTGTTTACTTTTGCTGTTAAACCTAATCGCTGATCCATTTATGTACGTTTTAACAAGAAAACAATACCGTAGAGTGCTTAAGTTGATGCTTACGTGCAGATGCAAGGAAAGGATAGACCAAGTGAAGCCCTTAATAAACCACAGGTTAGAGAAAATGAGTACGAACATTTTCTATTGACTTTGACCGAGTGATCATATTTATAGAGAATTGGTCATTATGAGGTGCGCTCGCCGGAGACTGGTCAGCGATGTCTGCCTCCTCTGTGGGCGCTTCGTTTTTCGCACAGAGGCGAGCGCGAAATGCGAGCGACTGGTGACGAAACGCAAGGGACCATGGGGAGGCGAAAGAAGAGCGGTGAAGCACGACTAACCCGTTCTCTCTTTCCCGCCCTCCTTCACGCGCAAGTTTTCATCGAGAGAGAGAGAGACGCCTGGGTACAAGGCAGGGTCGGTGTAGTGTTGAAATTGACTGTGGGACTGGACTGTGCATACGGGATCTTTGACCTTGTAGTTTCCTGCGCAACCACGCAATAGCCAATAAAACCTCAATCCATTCCCATGGTCTAGCTTCGAGCCGCTCGAAAGCCAAAGTAAGTAAAGAAGTAAGAGAAAGGAGTTACTTAATATGCTAATGATCCTTGTGAGTAATAGATTAACACTTGCCCACAAAACGAGCTACGAAAGCCGAACGTGGAGAGCTCAAAATGAGGGCGAAGCCCGAGAACCGGGTGCAGGAGCAAGTAAGAGAACCAAAAGCGCTGAAATTCCCTTCAACCGCGAGAACAGGAAAAAGGGCCGCTCTTCTGCAACTAACAGTGCTCTCTTTTACAATTTCAGTCAGCACCCAAGTATATCATCAGCCAGTCTGCAAGCACTCTGCTACACTGCAGGATCCGACGAGTATCATCTGAACGACCTGAGAGAAAGATTACGCATTGCTTCGCCATACCCAGATAACTTTCGAGATACAGTTCAAGACTGGAATTCTCATGAAAGCTCGAGCTTCAGCTAACTCAACCTTCCAAATACGCTGAAAAGGCCCGGCCTACTGTATTTTGGACTTTTCATAAAAGAGAGAGAGAGAAAGAGTGACCAATCTGCTCCTTGCCGCAAAAATTAAGTTATATCTTAGATAGTTTCTAGGGCCTCACGACGTCTTTGCACGATTATGTGACTTTCACCCGGTGCTGTCTCGAAGAGCTGGCACTCGAAACATCAGCCTTCGAATCCTTGTAGTTGGCCAAATTATCCAACAATTCAAAACCAAATTTACGTGCTTCTTGCCCTACACCTACTCAGCACCGCAGTCGCTTAGTAACTAACCTCAGAGAATTTCTCTCTCAAAAGTTACACCAATTGCAGAAAGAAAACCATTATCCCCGTAACAAAAGACGAATTTCTGTCACGAACATGATTGTACCCGGAGTTAACAGACGTGCTATGTATCCGGCTAAGGGTTCAGAGCGTGTTGAAGACACGGAAAAACAATTTTCAAGAACGATGGTGCTAATTTCAGTGGTGTATCTCTTGGGATGGATACCTTTTACGGTAAGAAATGAGTACTAGAGATCAGTCATGATTCATCACTTTTTATAGCTTATGCAGTTTTGTGGCAAGGGAACCAAGCAACCTGGCCCCAGTTGTTCGAAAGCTGGATACAGCTATCCAGTGGATAAATCTGTATCCGGTGGATACGTATTAGGGAAACCAATTGCACTATCCACTGGATAGAGATTTATATGGTGGATAGCGCTATCCACCTTTTGAACAAAAGGGGACTGCTCTTCATGCAACAGAGCCGCAAATCTGTCCGACTGTCATCATGACACGAACACGAATGGAAATTAATACTCAGTGGTTGAGGCATTTATACTTCAATGTCTTGCTAAGCATTAATACTTTATTATCCGGCATCCTACACTTTATCACTAGCGCCATGAAACAAGGCATAGAACGCAACGTATGGCTTAACCGGTACATACCTTGCAAGAAAAGAAAAGAAAAACATTTTCGTTATACTCGATTCACAGATCGGGAAGTCAAAAGGGATGCATTTGCAAACTAAGGATAAAGTGATCCGTAAGGGGGAAAAGAGACCGCGTAGCTTTCAGCTAAGTCAACAAATAAACATCACTTTCAGAGTAGAGCATTTGAGTGTCAAATGACCAAAGCCTTTTTAACTTTGTTCAGTGTTCTACGGCCTTGGCACTGTAATCTGACGACTATTTTATTCACATTTTTTTCTTTACTCTCTCCTTTCCGAGAACGAGGGTCGGTTAGAATTACTTTTTGCGAAAAAAAAAGTCTCAAATGATATCGAGATACCCAAGGATAAATATATATAAAGACAAAAAATTGCAACTAATGGCAACCTGCTCCCAGCGTCAGTGGCTTCATAGCTCAGTTGGTAGAGCATCGCACAGGTAATCACGAGGTCACGGGTTCAAACCCCGTTGAAGTCCTGAATTTTTTTTTTTCAGGCTTCTTTACGCAATTGCATAAATTGCGTTCACTGCGACGATCATTTCTTCATTTTCATTAAAACTTCTTTGTTGTCATAATTATCGCGAAATGTGCTAGAACACTTTGCGGAGCGATTAACTTGGAAATTTAGTCTTAAGAAGTCTTAATCCATCTCGTACACCATATCCTCCTACACAAATCTTCCCCTTGCCGCAAAAAGACTTCTATGCAAATATACGAGTCTAGCGCTTCAGAAACTGCAGGGAGAATGGGTACAAGCTTTGGGTCTCTACTCCAAGGAAGAAAATGATGTTTGGAGATCAGAGTGATTTTAGTTTTAGCTTTACAGATCATCGTTTTATTTTCAAGTTCTTTTAGAAGGAAATACTTTTAATTTTGACATTTCGTTACTTCAACACCCGTCTCCCGTATTTCAATCAGCGTAACGCTCTTTCATTATCGATAACCAAAACTTGATCGACACTGCAATGCAACTCGCCAGTGTACACGGGGATCAGCTGCTAGTCCGCTTGCGCACAAATCTCTCATTAAATAGGCCATTTCCGAGTTCCCCCGAGCCTCTGTATCAAAACGAGGTTAAGTGCTCAGCCTTTGATATGGAAATGATTTTTCATTCTCGTGCAAATAAAACTCATTCTCACAAGAAAGATTGTGCACTTGGTTTCATTTTGAAAGTGACGGTGTTTGGAACTCTGAAGTGGCCTATTGTCTTGCCTCTAAAGCTTAAAGTGATTGCCTCTCTGCCCACCAAGCTGTATGGAAGTCAAATTGTCCCTAAATCAGTGCACAGTTTGCCCCGATAACGCTGAAAAAAGATCACGGTTACGAAAACAGGCTTCCTTATTAATGAAAGCAGCATAAATGTTGTGGTTCAGTTTTATATTTGGTTTAAATTTTATTTACCTTTCTTTTAAACTCATTAATATACATCACCATACTCTAAAACAAAGGACAATAAAATTTAAACCAAGGACAAAATTGTGGCTTAGCAGAGTATAGTTCACCTAAGCGGAAACGACCAAGAGACGCAAACCCCGATGCATTGCAAAGATACCGTCTTTGTCGTTTCGTTTTACTCTGCTTAACGCTTAATGCTGAAGCTGTTCTTTTCTAGGTTCGTCTAATCGGTAACGCCTTCTACAACTGGCGAAACGGCTTTCAAGATCTTCTTGTGTGTTTGCTTTTGCTGTTAAACCCAATCGCTGATCCATTCATGTACGTTTTAACACGGAAACAATACCGTAGAGTGCTTAAGTTGATGCTTACGTGCAGATGCAAAGAAAGGATAGACCAAGTGAAGCCCTTAGTAAACCATAGGTGAGTGAAAATGAGTACGAACATTTTCTATTGACTTTGACCGAGTGATCATATTTATATAGAATTGGTCATTATGAGGTACGCTCGCCGGAGACTGATCAGCGATGTTTTCCTCCTCTGTGGGCGCTTCGTTTTTCGAACAGGGGCGAGCCCGAAATGAGAGTGACTGGTGATGAAAAGCAAGTGACCACGGGAAGGCGAAAGAAGAGAGGCGAGGCACGTCTAATCCGTTCTCTCCTTCCCGCCTTCCTTCACGCGCAAGTTTTCATCGAGGAAGAGACAGAGAGAGAGAGAGACGCCTGGGTACAAGGCAGGGTCGGCGTAGTGTTGAATTGCACTATGGGACTGGACTGTGCATACGAGATCTTTGACCTTGTGGTTTCATGCGCAACCACGCAATAGCCAATAAAACCCCAATCCATTCCCATGGTCTAGCTTCAAGCCACTCGAAAGCCGAAGTAAGTAAAGAAGTAAAAGAAAGGAGTCACTTAATATGCTAATGATCCTTGTGAGTAATAGACTAACACTTGCCCACAAAACGAGCTACGAAAGCCGAGCGTGGAGAGCTCAAAATGTGGGCGAAGCGCGAGAACCGGGTGCAGGAGCAAGTAAGAGAACCAAAAGCGCTGAAATTCCCTTCAACCGCGAGACAGGAAAAAGGGCCGCTCTTCCGCAACTAACAGTTCTCTCTTTTACAATTTCAGTCAGCACCCAAGTATATCATCAGCCAGTCTGCAAGCACTCTGCTACACTGGAGGATCCGACGAGTATCATCTGAACGACCTGAGAGAAAGATTACGCATTGCTTCGCCATACCCAGATAACTTTCAAGATACAGTTCAAGACTGGAATTCTCGTGAAAGCTCGAGCTTCAGCTAACTCAACCTTCCAAATACGCTGACAAGGCCCTGCCTACTGTATTTTGGACTTTTCATAAACGAGAGAGAGAGAGAAAGAGTAACCAATCTGCTCCCTGCCGCAAAAATTAAGTTATATCTTAGATAGTTTCTAGGGCCTCACGACGTCTTTGCAAGATCATGTGACTTTCACCCGGTGCTTTCTCGAAGAGCTGGCACTCGAAACATCAGCCTTCGAATCCTTGTAGTTGGCCAAATTACCGCAATCAAATCAAAACCAAATTTACGTGCTTCTTGCCCTACACCTACTCAGCACCGCAGTCGCTTAGTAACTAACCTCAGAGAATTTCTCTCTCAAAAGTTACACCAATTGCAGAAAGAAAACCATTATCCCCGTAACAATAGCCTTGACGAAGAAAGCGTATACAACGACAGTGTGCGTACTTGACTGCTAGCTCTCTATTTGAGCTCATAAGAGTGCGAGGCCAGCAAAGCGAGCCGTGAGGAAACTTGGACGGGACTAGTGTCATTGCCCCAGTTTCCGCGCAAGGAGCGTACATGTTACTGACTCCGTCTCGTTGTGGATACTTCCTGAAAAGCTAACATGACGTCGTGACCGGGGCATCAGCGCGTATGCCTGAAGCTGAGAAAACTCGGGACTAGACTTGTTGACTTTGTAAATCTACCTGACAATCACTATTCATTAAACTTGCCTCGGTACTTGGTCGTAAAAGTGGGTGAAAGATCGTCTCTCCTCCTTCGTTTACCAGAAAAGCGTACACTGAGCCCCAGCGATCGTTCAACAAGATGTTCTCAATCTCTTCTAGAGTAGCATCAATTCCAACAACGCCTATTGTCCTACGGAGAGAACAAAATACAGAGATACCACTTTTCATTTAATAAGTGTCCATGATCAATGGTTAATAAAGTGGAATGGTTATGAAGCCTATCAGATCTATTTGTTGTATGTTATTGTTAGCTTTTTTTACTTCACGGTGCACAACGTTTAATAGAATTGCTATCATTTTGAACTCTTCCACCAATAAAACGTCACATTAATTTATTCCGTAAAACAACAACAACAACAACAACAAGGGATTGTGCACCATCATGGAGTTCCCAACACCAACTGCAGCACTCTTGTTTTATCTGATTTTATTGATGTCTGTCGGCTTCCATAATCAGTCTCCTCTACTAACTATGCACGATCTCTGCACGATCTAATTAACTTCCTCTCCGAGTAAGCGCCAACATCTCAGCCAAAGAAAAAATTCCGTTTCGTCATCCCTTCTGTTATTTTTGGAACTCTGACCACACGGCACATATACTAATGAATGAAAGAAAATAGTTTCTT